CACACCAAAACCACGTCTGGATTTCTAACTGGCCCAGCAAACCAGATTCAGGGTCCTGGGGAGCCTGATGAAGCTTTGAAGACTGGGGAGAAGGTCTCCCCAGCTACCCCTGTGGAAGGACCACATGTGCCATTCAGGACCTGCCAAGACTCCCTTCCTGCTGTGACTGCTGAACCCAGAATCCTGACCCCTCTACCTTCCCATCCTGGTCCCAAGTCATACTCTGAAGTCAGCATACCAACCCAGCCCAGGAAAGCTGCTCTCTCTTGCTGGGCTTGCTTAGATGCTGAGCTCACTCATATTCCAGACCCAAAGGGGTTCTCCAGCACACCCACTTTGTTCTCGGCTCCAATATTCTCAGGTTAGACGAGCTAGGATTTATGCCTAGCTCAGGCCTGGCCTTCCATTCTCTGGACATTATGGAGATCCCAATACATCATATAAGGCCAGCCAAGGAACAAAATTGGTCTCAGCTCTGTGTACTGAGACTGTCACTGTCATCTTTCCATTGCTGCTGCTGGCTGCTAAGCCCTGGGCTCTGCTCCCTGTAGAACTGGAGCTTCCGAGTGCCTGGGTTTCCCTGAGAAGAAGGCCTGATGTACATTACATATTTTACAGATCAGTTCTGCTCAGTAACTGGGAGTGTTTGATGTAAAGTAAAGCAAAAAGGAGGTTTGGGGCCAGTGTCTGCTGAAAACAGCCAAGGAGGCTTTTGTAGGGCTATTTCAACCACGACATGAGAACTTTCATATTAGACAAGTTCATCTATTACTAGAATTTTAGAAGTTCTCCCACATACAACTAATAAGTATAAAACAAGCCTATTCATACTGATACTGATATATTAGTAATTAATGCAAATATACACCATAGCTATATGTATTCCCAAATATCACACATTACACACATTGATCTAAATTCATACACTGAAACATATGCAGTCATACATGTAAACATGTTTATAGTTATAGAGAGAAATATTTCAGATGCAGAACTATACAAAATTCAAACAAAAATGCACCTTCCCATTCAGATTTAAAGAAGCAAAATTATTATTCCTATTACTCCACCTGCTACACTTGAAGTTCTAAGCCCTAGTGCACTTTTTAATGTTTCAAAAATTGAAGGAACATTTTGAGAGGGCTCTTTTCTCTTCTTTCCTGTCCTTCCAGGCTCAGGAATGGGAGCTTTGGCATCCCCTTCCACATAGTTTTTCATTCCCCACTCCACCTTCCCCCCACTCACTCTGCCACTGGCAGCCCCCGTCTTGGGGTCCTGTCCACGCCTGTTCCTCTAATCAGCAGTGCACTCACCTGGTTTCTCCCAGCGACCCTCACACACCTTGGTGTGTAGTAGACTGCCTCAGCTGTATTCTTTATGTTACTCTGGCTGTACTATGTCTGGGGGATTGGGTGGGGTTTGGGGTACAGCGAAGGTGGCACAGGTGTCCGGCTGCTTCTTCCCAGAGCCCCATGGGGGAGCTTCACTGAAAAGCTGTGGTTAGTTAAGAGCCTGGCGCTCTGCCCAGAAGAACCATGACGACCCCTGATCTGCATCAGGACGCGATGAATCCGTCCATCCTTAGCTTCCAGTCCTGATCTCATAGCCCGTGAAGCAGGGCCCCATCCACCCCACAGCAGCCTGGTGTCCATAAGTCCAATAGGCTGATTCTGTCTTTTGCTGACCTGTCTCTCCTTTGGCCATTATCACAGCCTCTTCCAGTATTTTTTTTTTTCAGACAATAGATAATGAGCCCCAGAGAGTGCCCTGGGATTGCCCTCAGGGGCACCTTTTGGATTTGTCGCCTCTGGTTTTCACTAATTGCCATTAACTCCGTGTGGTACCACATGGTGCCAATGGCGCCGAGCCCTCAGGTTCTGTCTCTGCAGGGATCACTTATTCACTTTTCTTCACATGCTAAGGCTAAGGGTTGTGCTTGCATCCTCACTCAGGTCATATATGTGCTATGTAGAAACAAAGTGGGGTCTCTCTGAAATGCATCAGTGAGCATGACTAGCCCCCCTCATTCTTCTCGACCAGTCGTGTTGACTCCTTATACCTTCTCTTCTGTTTATTCTTCACACTTTATTTCCCCTGCCATTTCTTGCTCTTTTTTTTCTGACAGATCATATACCCGACTCTCCACACATCCCCACAATCTCCATCACAGCTTGTGGCTTTTAGGTCAGTCACATCCTGGACTTAGCCCAAATCCATATTAACAGCCTTGTTACTCCTTGTGTGCCATTCTATCCCTTTCTTTCTTT